GCAGAGGAGCAATACCCATGGTGGCTCTGCCGCCACCACTCCTAGGCAGCTGGCGAAGCTGATGATGGTCTCAGCCAGGGCAGCCGATGGCAGAGCCATGGTAGGGGGAGGATTGTAATGCTACCAGAAGCCAGGACCCTGGGGACTGGGGAAAAGAAGAGAAATGAATAGCAGGCATCCCATGTGTATGTCCAGATTTATTCATGAGCTGTGAGAGACTCCTTCATGGATTTCTGGAAATATTCAGTGGTTGGGGGATCCTGCCGAAGAGCAGGGCAGTCAGAGTCCAGTCAACCCCCTGGCTGTCATGGCCTGGGAAAAGCCAGTGACATGCCTTTCCTTCACACCAAATTCTTCCCCACTCCTACCTAATCTTCAGTGAAGACCCAAATGGAAAAACATGTCTTCAGAGGCCTGTGAATGTCTTGTGTAAGTCAGGAGCAACCAGCAGTACATCATACCCCCCAGCCCCACCCCCGCCTGGAACAAACTGGCTCCATCCCTTCCCAGCAGCCCCTGCAGACCTAAGTCCTCAGCACCCTCCAGGCTGCCTTTGGAGTGTGGCCTTGTGGTCCATTTAACCCTTAAGGATAACAATAGCACACCCTTCTATCACACCTTTCAGGCCAGGAGCCCAAGGCTTAAACTCTGGTTGCTTAACGCAGGGCTATTTTTCTGGCTTACAAGTCCTTGTCCAGTCTGGATATGCAGGACAGAGCCAGGAGTGCAAGTGTATTGATACAGTTCCAAGGAGGCTATGTGCCCCAGCTCTTTGCAAAATCCCATCTGGTTTTATTTTTCAGAGGCCAAGGAAGGCCCTTTTCTGTGTAACTAGGGAGCATTTGTGAGATTCAGTTCCTAGCTTACAAATAGAAAGGCTCCAGATGGAGCCATATTTGACTGGTGTGGGGCTCCCTACCCGTGGGGACAGTGGCCTGAATCCATGCCAGCCATTCTTAATGTTTGCCTTAGTGTTGCCAATTGGCCTCTGGCAACACCCATCTCTCCAACCAAACTGGTGATCTTCCAGTTGAGAGATCAGAAAAAGGACCTGGCCTGGTCTCTTAGGCCTACTTAGCTCTGAAATTGCCCCAGGGGCTCAAGGTCATTAACTGACCTTACTAACACAAGTGCATTCACTCACGTGGTTGTGTTGGGTTAAAGCATGGCTTTTTCTTTCAGTACCCTTTTTTATTGAATATGACAGGCCCTTTCAATATTCCTTTAAAACGATATCGTTAATCTCCAAATACTTAAGGAACAAAATTTAGTCCTATTTTAGAAAGACTTATGTGTAAAGGGTATACAGAAAGGAAAGAGGGGAGCACAGAATGACCCAGGACCCACAGGGCTGAGCTGCAAGGTGCCGTGGACCTGGGCTCAATCCAGAGGCTGGGCCAGGAATGTTTTTAATCCACTGTCTGGCTGACCTTGCTGAAGACAGGCTGTTCCACAAAAGTGAGCAGCCTCTATGAGGCGCCCATGTGGGCATCAGCTTAATTCGTGTGGAAAAAGACAAAAATGCAGGACTGGCATCCATTGTCAGGCAGCTTTTGTTCCTTAGTCCCTGCTGGGAGAGGCCTCAGGCCAGAAGCCAAGTCCCATAAGGACACGGTGTCTCTGTGATCCAGACCTAAGGATGATGGCCCAACTCTGAAAGGACAGCTTTGAGAGGAGGACAGTCTTTTTTTTTTTTTTTCCTTTTTCTTTTATTATTCATATGTGCATACAAGGCTTGGGACATTTCTCCCCCCGCCCCCACCCCCTCCCTTACCACCCACTCCGCCCCCTCCCTCTCCCCACCCCCTCAATGCCCAGCAGAAACTATTTTGCCCTTATTTCTAATTTTGTTGTAGAGAGAGTATAAGCAATAATAGGAAGGGACAAGGGTTTTTGCTGGTTGAGATAAGGATAGCTATACAGGGCATTGACTCACATTGATTTCCTGTGCATGGGTGTTACCTTCTAGGTTAATTCTTTTTGATCTAACCTTTTCTCTAGTTCCTGGTCCCCTTTTCCTATTGGCCTCAGTTGCTTTTAAGGTATCTGCTTTAGTTTCTCTGCGCTGAGGGCAACAAATGCTAGTTAGTTTTTTAGGTGTCTTACCTATCCTCACCCAGGAGGACAGTCTTTACAGAGGCGCTGTGGTCTGCCTTAGCCATCACTCACCCCTGACTTCTAGGGGCACCCCAGCTCTTCCTCAGAAGAAGGCCTTTCTCTCACCGCAGGTCAGGACGGATTATGGAAGAATCTGTACCTCTTCTTTCTCTCTCTCTCTCTCTCTCTCTCTCTCTCTCTCTCTCTCTCTCTCTCTCTGTCTCGTAGGACGTAGCCCAGGATGGCCCAGTACCTTTCCCAAGTTTTGATTAGTTTTTAAAGAAACATCTTTTGGAAGACATTCAAAATAAGATGTGATGTGGGTGAAGAGGAGTCCGGGTTGCAAGGCTCTTTAACAGGTTCTGGTAAGTTTGCACTTGAATTCACTGCTCAGGGCTGAGAAACACAGGTGACTTCCATAGTCTTTGCTGCAAGGTTCGTATGTGGTTACACAGTACAGCTCCTGCTCTCCCACTCAGGAGGACTGACTCCAGGGCAGGTTGGCTGCTGCCTCATCCCCAAAAGGAATGCCACGTGTTCCAGAAGAGCAGGCAGGATATCTTGGCTTATGGGGGTGGGGGGTACATCTGAATGATTCTGGGACCGAGGTTCTCCACCTCTGCACCTCTGCTTCTCCATCATGGGTCATGGAGCTCAATTCCCCTTCAAGCCTGAATCTTGCCACACGTGCAAGATTTTGCACACGTCAGTGCTGAGCATATCTTGTAAGGAGGCCACGGTGGTTCTGGAACTCCTTGGCAGTTTTCTGAGGCCAGAGGATGTCCTCTGGGTTTGGGAAACCTGGCCTGGTCTCCACTTCAAGGAGGTTGTTCTTGGGACTCAGACAGAAGTCTCATAGGATGGAGGTCAGTGTTTGGCTGCTTTCTGGAGTTCATTTGGTGGCTGTTATTCCCAGGGCCCAGAAGCCCCTGTGAAATCCTGGGCCAGCTGCTTATGGACCATGGTGCCAGAAAGGAAGGGGTGCCTTAAAGTTGTCCCCAGGATTTTCTTGGGCCCTCTAAAGCTGGCAGCTTTGATGTCTCCAGGTATCTTCTGCCAGAAAGTAGATAACCTAAGCCCTTCTGAATTCCTCTCAAAAGATAGCAACGCTGGCTCCTCCCAGGCTTCAGGCTTAGCAGGTCCCAGTGGAGGCACCTACCAGGCTCCCCACAATAATTCACATGTAGATGGAGAGTGGCTGTCCTGACCTAGCACAATGAACTTCCTCAGTCTCTCCTCCATCTCTTCTGGGCTGATGACCTTGAAGGTGACTACCTCCTTGGAGCAGCTGCCATCTTCCTAGATACCTTTCCCAATTTAACCAGGCTCTGAAAGACTGCTCAGGATCTGCCTGGGAATATGTGGTGGGAAAAGTGGCTCTACAGAGCCATCTCTCATAACACAGAAAGCAGAGATTTTTTTCCTCTGATGTCCTGGGGCTGGGCATACCTGGGATGTGCAGACGGTGGAATTAACAGGATCAGGGAGATACTAGCAGCAAGGAACATCCTTGCACTAGCTCTTGGTCCAGGTCTGTGCACTGTGGATTTTGGAACCTATTCCCACATGCGTTGAATGAATAAGTGACCGCCCAGCACACAGGCAGGCACCAGGCTTTATGCTCTGTGGAAGGAATGATCCTGGCTTTCTGTTCCTAGCAAGCCTCCTTGTACCAGCTATGTGACTTGGGGCAAGTTTCCTTACCTGAAAGTGATAGGTGGAGAGGAAGGACTGCTAAGCTGCCAGCAGATCTGCTTATTCTAAGTTTCTACATTTGACAGGTCTGCCCCAAGCAGGACAACTATCATCTCTGCCCTTTGCCTTCACAAGCATATCAGTGGGGCTGGTACTGTGGGCAATGAACAAATGCACCTTTTCTCTAGACAGGGGAGTCCCTTGGACCGGAGTATGACCCCTCTTCAGACTAGCACCCGCTGTGTAGATCTGGCAGAGGCTCCAGATCCGGGTCCTCAGCAGACCATCAGACCCCCAGGGAAGTGTGGTGATTCTGTACTTGCTGTGGATCCTGGACATCCCTATGGAGTAGCACTGGATTCAGGAACATCCCAGCCCTACAGCCAGCATGCAAGGAGTTCCCACTAGGGAAGGACTTGTCTGCCAAGCCGAAGGGTTTTTTTTTTTTTTTTGTCTGTTTGTTTTGTTTTTAAGAAGAGATCCCCTTATGGCACGCAGGACCGAATGTTCCTATGAACTGTGCCCCCTACTAGGGAGACCCTAGTCCCCGAGACAGCCGATGGGCAGCCTGCGAACTAGTCCATTTTGGAGGTCCGAGTCTGCGTCCCCACAGAACTTCCAGCTTGGTTGTGGCCACAGCCTGTTCAGCTGAGCACCCAGGGAGGGAGTGAGCTGCGTCCCCCGGAGCCCCAGGAGTAACAAGTAGGCCTTCCTTCCTCCGGGATAGACGTGAGAGCCAGAGCCCGCTCTGCTGAGCCAACAAGAGGCTGGAGCCATACGAAGCGCATTAACTATTAATAATTTCCAGTTGTTTGCTCGCTGCCCCAGGCCTCTGCAGTCTGGGACTCTGCTCTGGCTCCCCTGGACCGTCAGGTCTGGAGATATTAGCGTCTCCTTGGCTCTGCTGGAACGGGGCAAGCCGTCAACGCGCCCCCAGAGCCAGAGCGCGAGCATTGTCCCCGCGCCTCTCCTTGCCGGGCCGGGAAGCCTTGCCCGTGGGTTGCGAGACTCGCTCGGCGCCCCCCGTGCGCGGCGTTCGGCGTCGGGACGGGCTGGGCGGCGGGAAGAGCGCAGCGCAGCGCGGGCGGCGTACGGCGGGAGCGCAGCGGCCTCTGGCGCCCCGCCGGGCGGCGCGGTCAGTGCGGGAGGCAGGGCCGGCGGGGCGGGCCTGGCGGGGCGGGCCGGGGCGGGCTGGCGCGCGGCGGCCGGCGAGACTCTGACCGCGCGCGGGCGGCGGGGCAGGGAGGGCGGCCGGGAGGGCAGCTGCCCCGGCGCGCGCGTGTGCGCCCCTCGCGGCCCTCGCTCAACCGCGACCTCCGCGCTGAGTTTCTGGGGCCCCGCCACGCGCACAGCCATGGTTGGCCGGCTCAGCCTGCAGGATGTCCCTGAGCTCGTGGACACGAAGAAGAAGGGCGACGGCGTCCTGGACAGCCCGGACTCGGGGCTGCCCCCCAGCCCTAGCCCCAGCCACTGGGGGCTCACGGCGGCTGGGGGGAGCGGTAGCAGCGGGGAGCGCGCGCCGGCCCCTGGGGCGCTGGAGCCTGACGCAGCGGCAACCCCCGCGGCCCCGGTGAGTGGCCCCCACGCGGACTCCTTCCCTTCCCCCAGCCCACCCATAGCGGGCCCGGGGACCACCGGCGATCGTGCCGCCCCGCCCGGGACTAGCTGTCGGTTCCTCCACCCGCCCGTCGAGACGGCGTGGCCATCGCCGGGAGCCCGGGGCGGGAGCGCAGCGAGAGCCTAGCCAGCTGGAGCCGGTGGCTGGAAAATTGTCATCGCCTGGGAGGCGCGGGAGCCCCAGGAGAGGCGAGCCGCCGTCTCCTCCCTTCGAGGTGGCGGTCCCCGGGGCTGCCAGGCTGTGGCTCGACCGCATTCCTGTCGGGGCAAGGCGGGTGGGGCTCCCGGGACACCGAAAGGGAACTCTAGTCCTCCCCTGACCGTAGGCCCCTCGGCTTTGCCCACAGCAAGCAGCCGTTCCCAAGGCGGCCTCCTGGCAGATACTGGGGAGGGGTTATGCTCTGAGCTCCCCCATTCACAGAGTAAACGGGGCCAAACCTTGGGGTCTTTGGGAGAGAGGCACTCCATGAGCCTCCAGCCTTCTGGTGGCCCTCTGCCCTGAACACCTTATCCAGTGAGTGTTCTGCAGTTAATGAGAGGCAGGGAGGCCTTCAGATGGCCAGAACTTTAAAAGTACTAATCTTTTTATTTTAAAACTTATGTAAAGAAAAAACTTCAAGTCTCCTTTGCCTTAGGAATCACTCAGATGGTGGTGTTTTTCCTTTATGTAGAGCTCAGGGGAGATCACATCCTGCCTGCAGTCAGAGCGCCCTGGGAGGGGTTGGCTGTCCCCTCCCCTGGCTGTGAAGTAGTCAGAGGCAACGTTTAAGGACCCCATGGAGCTCTGATGGTGCATGGCTTCTTGACCCCTGGCTCTGTCTCAGCAGGCCCAGGACCTCTTCTTACTTCATTCCAAGTCTGCTTGCTTCACCTTGGCCTTCAGAGCTCTCCCCACCTGGCCCTTTTTCTAACCTCTTCCATCTGCCCTGACAGGCCAGACACACAGTGGTGCTTTGGATGGTGCTTCCTCCACCTGGGCTGCCTCTTATCCCTTACCTCTCCCAATAAAGTTCTGCTGGTCCTTCCATGCCCAACTCATTGTCACCTCCTGTGGAAAGCCTTCCTTGATGCTTTCCCAGAGCCTCTCCAGAGCCAGTGGCTTCATTTCCCTGAGGGATCTTGGGAATGGTTCTGCTATTCACAAAGCCACCCTGCCCCCACTCACCGCATCCCTCCTTACCTGGAGCACTCAGGGAGTGTCTCTGGTGGGCAGGAATGGAAGGGCAGAGAAGGCAGGGCAAGGGCAGCCAGTGTGTGTGAGCAGAAAGTTGGAAAGTAGCCACCTCCTCCTCTGGCTGCCTCAGCCCACATCCCCCAGGACTGCCTGGGGAGTGCTACCCCGCTGTTGGGGAGTGTCTGGCAGCCAGAGACCTAGGGGCAGAGCAGGACCCACTGTCGCTGTTTGGAGATTGTTTCTAGAAGGTCTGCAGCAGCCAGCCACATCTCATTTGCCCCACCTCCATGCAGTAACCTTGTTTTGAACCCACATCCCCATCCCTGGCCTGAACTCATAAAACTTACCACCCAAGTCCAGGAGGACCCTCTGTTTCTCCCTATCTTGGTCTTCTTTGACTTCTGTATATTTCCACCCATGCTCCACTTGATACCTTGTCCTGATAACACGATAAGGGTCTGGTAATATTTGCTTCTTACTCTGTCCTGGGAGATGTGGGGTGGGACTGCCACCTCCACACCCTGGCCCAAGTGTAGCTCCTTCTCTCAAATTAGGCAAAGAAAATGACAGGTCCCAGAAACCTAGGGAACACAAAAGGCTGCTGAGGTCACTCTGCACTGGGCTTAGTTTTGCATACAGAACACAGAAGCTGATTCTAGCAAACTGGGTGACCAGGATGGAACTGTCCCCTCACCTGATGAATCAGAGCACCAGTGCCTGGACCACGTTGGGGACAGTCACCCTCCAGGGTGATGTGCTCCGGTGCCCTGAGTTTTCTGGCTCATGGAGGGAGAGAACATTTTGATGTTCCTTACTGAGTTGCTGGATTCCTCTGACTAGGACGGTTGTGAATCTGACAGCTGCAGAGGCAAAAGAGCCAGGGGATGTGTTTTTTTATTTTGTTTGTCTTTGGCCCTTCAAAAGTGTTGCTCAGACAATGACAGAGAGGGTGCCACATAATTAAGGGTTCTACAGCACTAACCTTCAGTTTGCCAGGCCTTTCTCACTGCATGGCCACTCTGGCTCTGGCTACTGTCCTGGTGTGGAACTTAAGTTCGTTTCCTCTTTTCTGCCTTTCACAAAACTACAGTGATGGAAGGAGGCAGTCCTTGCCTTGGTGAGCAAATAAGATTACAGGGCATGTGACACGACTCTTCTGAGGGCACAGAGCACATTCAGAATGAACCTAGGATTTGAATGCAGACCTCCTGGCTCCCTGTCCAGTGCTTTTCCCTGGCAGACCCAGAATAAGGGAAGGGACACAGGTCATAGTGGGACCAGCTGGCTAGAGGCTCAGCTTCTGTGGGGTGCATGTGTTGGCCTGTGGTTCTCTAATCACCTTTTCCTTCTGGTAGAACCCTGCATCTCTCCCCAACACACTGGCTGTTGGCTGCTCACCAAGGCTCTGCCCCCTGTCCTTTGGCGAAGGAGTGGAGTTTGACCCCTTACCACCAAAGGAAGTAAGGTAAATATAGCAGGATCCGACTTGATTTTATTTCTTAAATTTTCATTTTCATTTTTTGAGTCCAGACATAATTGCTTGTTATTTAAAAAAATTAGTTAATTGTGAACATTTATCAAAAACTAGTTTGTTGGGTACTTTTTTTTTTTAAGTACTGGAATTTGAACTCAAGACTTTGACAACCCGAACCACTGGGGGATATTCTTTAGGATTTTTTTCCTCCTGCATTCTAGCTAATCAAATGTATAGACACTCTTCTTAAAATAAATATGAGAGCGTATGATACATAAAGTTCTCCAACATGCTTTGTGCATTTCATGTATCGTAGCCATTGGATGCTAAAAATTTTGTTGACTATCAATTCTTTCCAGGAGCTGTTTCTCCCCATCCCCTCTTCAAGGCGCTGTGACCTTGTTTCATGTTATTTTTGTCACTGGGCAGTGCTAGTCATCCTCTAGGAACGATCTCCAGCATGTTATCGGGCAAAGGGTCATGGAGATCTCTGTTAAGGATCTGTCATTTTAGAGAAAGTGCTCTTACTTCTGGTGACTGAGGATTTTGTAGCTGGCGTTTCAGTTGAGTTTGCACAAAGGGCCCTTTGATGTGAAACAGATTCATCCTTTGGAGGTGAGCAGTTAGCCTTTTAGTCCTGTGAAGCTTGTATTTCCAACAAAGTGGGGTGTGGCTTCATGGCATCAGCTCTGTCCTGCCTCTTCACTACTTGCCTAAGGAGAACAGACATTCCCACCTGACTCACAGAAAAGAAGTCAGGTTCTCACCAGACCAGGGATAAGGGGTGGCAAGGGCTGATAAATGTATCTCTATGTGACCCTCATACGTATTTTAGTATCTGTGAAGTTGCAGTGAAGTCATTGATGCTTTGCCTAGCACATGCAAAGCCCTGGGGGTTCTATCCCCATCCCTGCAAATAAATAAATAAGCAGATTGCTGCTCCAGCACAAAATGGCACCAGCACCTACATCTCACTTTCCCACTGTGCTCTCCCACAGTTGTTGGGAAGATGAAATGAGAGCCCGTGGGTAAGGCACTCAGAATGCTAGTGCCTGGCACATGGTAAGTATTTGTAAACTCCACGCCACTTCTCACTGGCATAGCCACATCTCCATGTTAGCACCCCGAGAGAGTCAGGGTCACAATCAGGAACCTTTGGGGCCCCTAGCTCTGAGGGGTGGCTTCATGCTGCCTTATGTCTCCCCTCCAGGTACACTTCCTCGGTCAAGTATGACTCAGAGCGGCACTTCATTGATAACGTGCAGCTGCCCCTGGGCCTGGCAGTGGCGTCCTGCAGCCAGACGGTCACCTGTATCCCCAACTGCACATGGCGCAACTACAAGGCTGAGGTGTGCTTTGAGCCCCGCCACAAACCCACACGCTTCCTCAGCACCACCATTGTCTACCCCAAGTGCCCCAAGATCATCTACACCACCACCCTGGATTACAACTGCCACAAGAAGCTGAGGAGGTTCCTGTCCAGCGTGGAGCTCGAGGCCTCAGAGTTCCTGGGTAGCGACTGCCTCTCGGATGAGTGCTGACTCGAGACGGCTGGCTGGGGTCCAACCAGCTGTTCCGCTGCTGTCCTGGTCCCCAGACCACCCTGGGGCAAGCGGGACAACATTGTCCTTGCACATTATTCCAGCCCCAGAGGAGTCTAACCTGGAGATACCTCTAAACCCAGCCATGGGAAGAAGAAAAAAACTCACTGTATCTTATAATCGTGGAGATACTTGGCTTCGTTTTTTCATTTTCAAATTGTTTTTAAAAGGAGTAGATTTCTTCCTGTTGCAGTTTCCCCAAGGTCTCAGTTGGATGAGAAAATGAGGGAGGGTGGAGGTGAGCTCTCCCTCCCAGTCCAGTGTGCATGAGGAGCATGCATGAAAAGTCCCTGGGGTGCAAAAAAGTGAGTCGTAAGAAATTTCAGCCCTGGGGGGATCTTCACTGCTGCAGAAGGGGAGTGAGTTCAGTGGGTTGAGACATCCACATGTGTCCAGTCTCTGGAGCATGGAGTTCCATTCCATTTTTATTTCCACTTTGATATGTATTTCCTATTAACCAAAACTCTTGGAATCCTCTAGATCTTTTTTACGATACTGAACCCCCTCCTCCCCCCAAACCACAATAGGAGATGCCTTCAGAAGGAAAACCCACCCTGTTCTCTGTCTGCGTCGGTTTGGGAGCAGTGGCCAGGTCTGGCTCCTCACAGGTTGGCTCCAGGAGCGGCCCTGGCAGAGCCTTGCACACTTGGCATCTGGTTAATGTCTCTGCAGCCTTGAGTAACTCTCTTGATAGGTATTTTGGGGTTTCAAAATGCTTTCCCATTTTTTTCATAAGGCAAAATGTAGCGGAGGGCTCTTTTTGAGAGAAACGGCATTTTAAAAGAATGCTTTGGAAAAACACTTGTTGGGACTCCAGGAGGAAGGTTTCCATGGACGGCCATGCTGAAGGCTAACTGCCACCAAGAGGCGGATGTCCATGTTTCTGTGACCTGGATCGTCACCTGCAAGTGTCTACATGGACTCATCCTTAGGATTTTGGTGGTGTTGAAATTGCAGAGGAATTGGGTCTAATCCAAAAAGCAAACGATCTTGCTTAATTACCCTCCCCCGCCACCTCCATGTTAAGCTAAGGTGAATTCAAAATAGAGAATGATGTCACAATTCAAACTACAAACCCAAACATTTCTTTTTTACCACTGTATACAAGGAAGTGACCATGAGTCAGGCATGAACCAAACATGTTCTCCAGCCAGTGCGTGGCACCACCTACAGCAGCAGAGACTGGGCTGGATGGGTATAGCCACCACCCCCCCACACCCCCAGCCCTGGTCCTGGCCCCAGCCTTTGCTTCTGAGAACCTCCTGCCAATCCCTGTCATGCTGGAGAAAAGAAAGTGGCAGATTTTTCCCCCAGTATTGGAAAGAACAGACTGTACATATTTCCTTTGAATAAATCCAATGTCAAGTGCTCCAGGGTTCCAGAGTAACATAAGCTTGGCCTCCTATCGTATCTGGGTTTCTGTGGATGACTTCCATCTGGCCTGAAAGCAGAATTAAGAGCTCTCTGGGTCCCCTGGAGCCGCAGCAGGGACTTTTGTTATCTTGGAAGCAGGTGCTGTGATAGTCAAAATCATTTAAAAGCAATGAAACCCTCTAGAGCCATGCTGTCTGATGTCCTCTCCAGACAACAGCGTCTGGCCTGCTGTGCTCCTAAGGAACAGGACACGTCCCCTCGTCCCCTCGGATGGAGCCGCAGTCAGCTTTATGGTCCCAGTTTGCCAGGGATCCAGTGAGGGGGACATTCTGGGACCCCACAATCTCCTTAGTCATGTGCACAGCAATGAATGCTGCCTGCCTTGGGAAAAGCAAATTGTACAGCACTCATTGGCAAAAGTGGGTTTTCTGTCTGACTCTAACATTGAAGTGGTAAATGTAATTTGAAAATTATGCTAGAATTCCCAAGGCTTTGCTCTGCCCCGAGGCTGGATGATCTCAGAACGACATTGTGGGCAGTGTGGCAGGAGAGAAATGTGGCCTTTGAACATAGTAGTGTTTTTGAGGTGTCCTTAAGAGATTTTTTTTCTTTTTTTGTCTTAGAGGGATTGTGTGTTAAGTACAGAACCTGAACTATATCAGTAAAGTAAGTAGACATGAGGGCTGGCGGATGTGTAATGAGAGTGGAAAAGCAGGTTTTATTTTGTTAAGTTAGCCGCTGGGGAGCCAGCTGTCGTTCTTTCTCATCTTCTGTTCCCCCAACCTGCTTGCTGGAAGTCGCAGAAACGGAAGGAAGCACGTGAGCCCCTGTGGAACACTCCAGTCGGGTCAGATGTCGCCGGTAGGTTGATTAGTGTTAGTTTGCAAAGGGGAAGCAGTGATTTTTTTCAAGCTTGCTGATTTAAAAACTAACATTCCTAAGTGTGTGTGAGACATGCAGTTTGTTAATTAAAAAGCTTTTTGCTCAGTCTTAAATTATGGCTTTTGTGTAATAAGGATAATTTGTATTTTCAGAAAAAAGTTGTTTTTCCTTCAAATTACAGACTTTTAAAGAGACTTAAGTTGAACAAGTAGCTTTTCATTTGACTCTTCCTGATTTTAACCTTAGAAAATCCAAAATAGCATTTGACAAAAACTATGTGGAAAAATTACCTTTGACATCTGTCTCAGTCTAATTTTCTTTGTGACTTCTCCATTTAGTAATAAATTATCTAAAAAGTATAACTGAGACATGCTTTTTTTATTCAAAGTAAAATTTATAATGTTTGGTTCTGCAAAATGAGGAAAACACCCCCTCATTTTGAGAAGTTTTAAGATGCAATTATATTTAACAATGTTAATATGCAGGTACGAGAAGATTTTTCCAAGGAGTTGCTAGACAAAAACAGCACTTTTTTTTTTCTTTTTTTTGGTGGTACTGGATTTGAACTTAGGGCCTCATGCCTGCTAGGCAGGTGCTCTACCACTTGAACCTTGAGCCACACCACCAGCCCTTTTTGTATCAGGTATTTTTGAGATAGGGTCTGTTTGCCCAGGCTGGCCTTAAACTGAGATCCTCCTCATCTCTGCCTCCCGAACAGCTAGGATTATAGGCGTGCACCACTGGCACCCAGCTCAGGTTTTTTGTTTTTGTTTTTGGCAGTACTGGGGTTTGACTCAGGCCTTCATGCACTCTACCACTTGATCCACACACCCAGCCTCCGCAGACAGTTTTAATAAGGGAATTTGATTCCAAAATGGGTGCACACTCTCCTCTATCTACGATTGGGGATGTCAGGCCATTTTTCCTTCCCACCTCCCCATTCAAATTGCCTTCCCCTACTTTCCAGGAGAAATGCGTGCCTTGGTCTAAGCCACCCTTAGTTTTATTGGGGTACAACAAAAAGCCTGTAGGCAATTGAACAACAGGACAGTAGACCCCACCATGGGAGCATGTCTGTGGGCATGTAATTCTATCATGGATGGAGCATGGTGGAAGGAGCAAGGTAACCTGGGTGGGGATGGCCTCAATCCCTGTATCTCATGTAGGGAGGCAGTGTGAGTAAAGACACTTTTTATTTAATGCCTGTTTTGCTTCAATCTCAGACTATTGCTTTCCTGGTGGGAAAGTCCTGGCCGGGGGGCAGGGTGGGAGAATAATATCTTTTCCTTAACCTGTTGTAAGGTTCATAGCTAAGACTTCTGTGGCAAAAGATTAACAAGAAAAAAAAACCTACAGACTGACTTAATACAAGCTTTACATGACTCCAGAGCCTTCAGAAATAAAGACCCACAGAAACAGGAAGGGGGCCAGGCATTGCAGTTCACAGCTGTAATTCCAGCTACTCTGGATGTGGATGTAGGAGGATTGAGGTCCAAGGCTGCTTGGGCAAAAGCTTGAGGTCCTATCTGAAAAACAAAATCATAAAGAGCTGGGGGTGAGGCTCAAGGGGTACAGCGCTTGCCTAGTGTGAGGCCCTGAGTTCAAACTCTGCACCTCCCCTCCAAAAAGAAAAGACATGGAGATATCTGCATATTTTTTTATGGACACTCATGCAGAAGTATAACTGGAGGACAGAAGGTCTGGTCTATGGTGATGGGCTGGGCTGTGGGCGCTTAGCAAGCCCTGTTTGTTCAGATTCTTCTTGGTGTGCCTATGTGACAGTCTTTCCTTTCAGGGTTTAGGACAGGACACTTGTCACATGAGGGTCTTCAGGGGAGAAGGAAGCACGTCAGAGAGAGATCTTTCTAAGTTTTTGTGGCCAGTTTGCTTCAGGGGAAGGAGGAGAGACAACATATATTCAGAGAGACCTTTCTGCTTCTGCTGTGTGCTCAATGTCTTGCAGCTTAAACTAAGCAGCATGCAGGCTGGAGGTGTGGCTCAAACAGCAGAGCACCTGCTTTGCAAGCATGAAGCCTGAGTTCAAATCCCAGTCCCACTGAAAAACAAAAAAGCACAGTATGCCTAAGTACCAGATTTTGGAGTAGCACTTCCTGTACCGCATCGGTCAGCAAAGCTGACCAAGGATCAATAGGAAAGATTGAAAATGGAGGCCTCTATTTCATTCCAGCATCAGAGACAAGGCCCTGAATCTTAGCTATTTGTCTGTGACTTATGACTTGGAAATAAACAAGGAAGCAATGTGTAGTATCCTTATTTTCTAGTCTCTTCTTTATTTTTTTTAATTTTTTTTCAGTGCTGGGGATTGAACCCAGGGCATTGCACTTGCTACATATGCAATCTACCAGTAAGCTAGACGCCCTAACCCCCAGTCTCTTAATAGAAATTAAGTCTAATTCAGCTGGCTAGGATAATAAGGCTAATTTTGCCATTAGTTTATATAGTACAAATTTTCCACAAAATGAATTGTCTAATCAGCAATTCCAAGACTCTAGAGTGTAGAGAGAGTCGAAAGTGGATTGAAATTAATAACATTTCAATTGCCCTAACTTTTTAGTTGTATCAGGAAGCTGGTGCCCCCAAGAGCAAACTAGTAAGTGTAATTACCTATAATATGATAACTCTTAAGAAATGTGTGATTCTATTGATTAGGTAACAAATCCAATTGCAAGGAACAGCTCTTCACGAAATGAAACTGATAATTTTATCTGAGTATAACGCAATCAAGCAGTTTGCTTTATCACTGGTTCCAGAAGTGTTTTCTTACAAATAAGGTTCTACAGTCAGGAGTTTGGGGAACGAGAGCTAAACACTGCCAGGCGTAGTAATCATTTTACCTGTTGCAAGGTCTGTGGCTGATACCCCTGGAGCAAGAGACAGAGCCCTGCATCATCAGCTTCTGCTGCAGGACGGCCAGCTCAAGGTCACAGTGACCTCTGGCAGTCAGCGTTTAGCTCTTGCTTACCGAAGGGCAGGTCTGCACCAGGCCAGGTGTTGAGTTCAGGTGTTGACTTCACTTGGCTTTGATGCAGTCTAGGGAAGTGGCTTTGTGCACATTCTTCTCAGCGCAGAGATCAAAAGCTTCCAGAGGGACTGGGGTGTGGCTCAAGAGGTAGGCACTGGCCTAGCAAGTGTGAGGCTCCGAGTCAAATCCCAGTACCACAATAAAGAAAATTTTAAAAGATGAAAACTCAATACTACTACAATACAAATTTTTTAAAAATTTAAAAAGCTCCCAGAGGAGCCAGGCGATGGTGGCTCACGCCTGTAATCCTAGCTACTCAGGAGGTAGAGATCAGGAGGGTCATGGTTTGAAGCCAGCCGGGCAAATAGTTCTCAAGACCCTATCTTGAAAAAATCCTTAACAAAAAAGGGCTGGTGGAGTGGTTCAAGGTGTAGGCCCTGAGTTCAAGTCCCAGAACTGCAAAAAAAATTTTTAAAAACTCCCAGAGGAGCAAATAGGAACGTCCAACACTTAAGGTCTACAGAGAGAACTGTCACCTCATTGCTTCCACCCACACTCTATTGGTCAAAGCAAGTTACATGGTCAAACGCAATACAGCGGGTCAGAGAACCACACTGTCCCTGTGAATGTGAGGGAAGCAGTGAATATTTGCTGAATAATAATCTACCCCAGACTTTATTGAGGTTATGTACGATGAGAATCTTCAAAAGAGAAATACAGCAGTTTCCACCATAGAATCCATGTGTGTTTTATAGGATGTGTTTTGGGGTAAACTTTAAGAAATGCTCTTTTACTGAGCGCTGGTGGCTCACTCCCATAGTCCTAACTGTTCAGGAGGCAGAGATCAGGAGGATGGATGTTCAAAGCCAGCCCGGGCAAATAGTCTGAAAGACCCTTTCTCATTAAATAAATAAATAAATAAATAAATAAATAAGGGCTGGTGGAGTGGCTCAGGGTGTAGGCCCTGAGTTTAAGCCCCAGTATTACAAAAAAAAAACCAGAACAGGGCTGGTGGAGCAGCTCATGGTAGAGCACCTACCTAGAAAACGTGAGGCCCTGAGTTCAAATGCCAGTACCACCAAAAAAAATTGCTATTTTGTCTTTAGTAATCAAAGTCTAGTAAAGATAACCAAAGTTGTACTAGATACTTAATACAGAAAGCCAATGACATAGACGTTGGAGAGCTGAGCCAACAACCCGATCACAGTATCTAGAAGAAGCAGCTACCATAATAGGTGTGGGGGTGCACAGCTGCAATTCCAGCACTTGGGAGGCAGACAGGAGAAGAGTTCAAAGCCAGTCTGGGATACTTAGTGAGACCCTGTCGCAACACATACTTACCTTACCAAACAGACACAGATGAAATATAAAATCTGAAATATATATACATATATATGCATACACACAATATACAAACTGTATACATAAAATATTAAAGGAGATATATTAAAGAAATTGGTTTTTCCCACAGACGAAACTTCAGGCCTGGATGGTTTTTACTGGTGAAGTCTATCGTTCGCTCAGGAAGAAGCAACACCAATCTTGCACAGGCTTGGGACTGTTTCCAATTTGTTATGGAAGAACTTGTTCAAAACCTGACAGGCATCGAAAGAAAATTATTACTGTAGCCAGGCGCTGGTGGCTCACGGCTGTAATCCTAGCTACTCAGGAGACAGAGATCAGGAGGATCCTGGTTCAAAGCCAATCCAGGCAAATCATTCATGAGACCCTATCTTGAAAATACCCAGCATAAAAAGGGCTAGTGGAGTGACTCGAGTGAGAGAGGACCTGCTTAGCAAGTGTGAGGTCTTGAGATCAAACTCCAGTGTTGCCAAAAAAAGTTGGAAGAAGAGAAAAAAGGTGATCTTCAATTTAAAAACACTTGAGAGACATCAACTAAATGCCAGTGTGATGTGTAGGCTTTATTTGGGTCCTGATTCAGACAAACAAGCAAACAAAATTATTTATAGAGCTGGTGGAGTGACTCAAGTGCTAGAATGCCTGCCTAGCAAGCATGAGGCCCTGAGTTCAAACCACAAGCCACAAAAAAAAAAAAAAAGAAAACCACCCTTGTTTATAAATATAGACACAAAATCCTTAACAAGAATAAGCAAAGTGGGGGGGGATAGGAGGAAGATGGGAGTTGAGAATGATGGAGGGGTAAGTCTAATTAAGATACTTTGTAAGCATTTATGTAAATGTCACAATGAAACCCCCTGTGCAACTAACACATGCTAATAAAACTGGGCTGAAATTGTAGCTCAGTCCAGTGTTTGCCCATTACGTAGGAGGCCCTGCGTTCAACCCCAAGCACCACAAAAAACTTAATAAAAGAATATCATC